CTCTCTCTCTCTCTCTCTCTCTCTCTCTTCTCTCTCTCTCTCTCTCTCTCTCTCTCTCTCTCTCTCTCTCTCTCTCTCTCCTCTCCCTCCTCTCCCTCCCTCCCTCTCTCTCTCTCTCTCTCTCTCTCTCTTTCTGTGTGTGTGTGTGTGTATGCAGATATATATCTGCAATCAGATTTGTCTCTTCTTCCGCCTTTTCTCCCTTTTCCTGTCCCCTATCCTACCAACCTCTTTCCTCTCACTCGTGTATCTCTCCATCTCTCTCTCCATACGTGTTTGCGCGCTTGTGAACGACGACCTGACTTGCAGACGGCAGTCCATTTAAGGTGAAGGGAGAGGAAGAAACACAAAAAAATACGAAAAGGTCATCATTTAGAAGGCAGTGAGCTACAGTTTATAATCTTAATTTTGTATCTCGCGTTTACATTCTGCCTCCCTCTTCCTCTGGTCTCCTACTACGCCGTATCTCTCGTCTTGAGGAGGCGTAAAGTGCACCAGAATCTTGTTTTTTGTTGTTTGTGCATACGTGGTCTCCGCGGGGTGTTGTCCGGGTCGCCAGCAAGGCCAGAGAAGAGCGAGAACCAACGCAAAAAGTTCTGAGGACTAACTCTGATGCTAGTATTGTCTTTTTGATGTTCACGGTGTTCTGTGGAGTATGCGCAGAATGCTGGAGAATATGAGGTGGAGAAACAATTTATGATAACAGACACAGAAAAAGAAACGGGGAAACTGCTATAAAAGTAGAAAGAAACACAAGGAAACTTATTCTCAAGCCTGTACGTTGATGAAATGAGCCAGAAGGAAAATAAACACATCTTAAACACATCAGCAAAATATGTATAACAACTGTAACTTACTGAAGGGAATGCCAATCGGCTTGATCGCTTTTCCTTAGACGGTCGTAAGACGTCTACATCGCTGATAAGGAACTGATAAGATGAACCGTAAAAAATGCGTTACGCTTCCCCCTTGCGTCAGGAGCTGATAAGAAGCACGTTGGGGAAAACGCATGTTAACACGTCACGCGCAGACAGGAAAAGGGGAGATTTCGTAGAAGTCGATCACGTCAAATGAATTGTGCTTCAGTGCATTTCCTCGCCTTGTGATCATCCTTAGTATCAACAACATTGTCTTAATGATCATGATGTTATCCTTATCACTGTTGATCACATTGCTCTCGTTTCTGTTATGATTATCATTATCGTCATTGCTATCATTATCATTATTAACATTATTGTCATTGTTGCTGTTATTGTTATTATTAGTATTATCATTGTCCTTATTATTATCATTATTATCATTATCATTATTATTATTATTACTATCATTATTATTATTATTATTATTATTATTATTATTATTATTATTATTATTATTATTATTATTATTATTATTATTATTATCATCATAATTATTATTATATTATTATTATTATTATTATTATTATTATTATTATTATTATCATTATTATTATTATAATTATTGTCATTATTACTTTTAATATCATTACTATCATCATCATTATTATTATCATCATTATTATTATTTATTATTATTATTGTTATTTATTATTATTTTATTATTATTATTATCATTATTATTTATTATTATTATCATTATTGTTATTATTATTATCATTATTATTATTATTATTATTATTATTATTATTACATTATCATCATCATCATTATCATCATCATCATCATCATTATCATTATTATTACTATTATTATTATTGTTATTATTATTATTATTATTATTATCATTATTATCATTATTACTTTTAATATTATTACTATCATCATCATCATCATCATCATTATTATTATTATCATTATTATTATCATTATTATCATTATCATCATCACTAGTATCATTATTATCATTACTACTATTATTATTGTTATTGTTTTTATCATCATCAGCATCAGCATCAGCATCATTATTATCATTTTTTATCATTAGTACTAGTATTACTATTGTTGTTATTGTTATTATCATTAGTGTTATTATCATTACTACAATTGCTATAATTATTATAATTATTATTGCTCTGATAATCATGATAATAATAATATTAACAATACTAATGATGATAATGATAAACATTAGGAAATAATAATATAATATAATAATAATAATAATAATAATAATAATAATAATAATAATAATAATAATAATAATAATAATAATAATGATAACAATAATAATAATAATGATAATTATAATAATGATAATACTAATGATAACAATAACAGCAACAGACAATGATAATGATGTTAATAATGATAATGATAATGATTGTAATAATAATAAAAATGAAAGTCATGACGAAAACTATTATTATCATCATAATCATCATTATCATCATCATCATCATGGCCCTTATCTTCATTATTATAGTTCATTATTATTATTGTTACAAGCTTTATAGTAATTATTGTTACTATAATTTTCTCTTTTATTACTATTATCATTTCATTGTCATTATCATCATTATTGTTATCAATCATTATTATTATTAATCAATAATTATTGTTCATATTATTTCTATTACCATTATCATTATTATCAATATTACTGTTATTACTATTGTGATTATCATTATTATTATTGTCATTATCATAATTTCCCTTATTACCATTATTATAATTTTCCTTATTACCATGATTATAATTTTCCTTATTGTCATCATTATTTTCAAAATTATCATTGTTAATATCATTATTATTACTATTGTTAACATCGGAAGTCTTATCATTATTATTAAAAATTTTCTCATTGCAAAAATTTGAATAAACATATTAGTATATACATACGCATACACACACACACAACACAACACACACACACACACACACACACACACACACACACACACACACACACACACACACACACACACACACCACACACATATATATATATATATATATATATATATTATATATATATATATATACAGAGAGAGAGAGAGAGAGAGAGAGAGAGAGAGAGAGAGAGAGAGAGAGAGAGAGAGAGAGAGAGAGAGAGAGAGAGAGAGAGAGAGAGAGAGAGAGAGAGAGAGAGAGAGAGCGAGAGAGAGCGAGAGAGAGAGGGAGAGGGAGGGAGAGAGAGAGAGAGAGAGAGAGAGAGAGAGAGAGAGAGAGAGAGAGAGAGAGAGAGAGAGAGAGAGAGAGAGAGAGAGAGAGAGACAGAGAGAGAGAGAGAGAGAGAGAGAGAGAGAGAGAGAGAGAGAGAGAGAGAGAGAGAGAGAGAGAGAGAGAGAGAGAGAGAGAGAGAGAGAGAGAGAGAGAGAGAGAGAGAGAGAGAGAGAAGAGAGAGAGAGAGAGAGAGAGAGAGAGAGAGAGAGAGAGAGAGAGAGAGAGAGAGAGAGAGAGAGAGAGAGAGAGAGAGAGAGAGAGAGAGAGAGAGATACAGAGATAATGTAGACAGATTTTTATGTGCATAATGGTGACGGACGAGGAAGTTGTTTGGCGCCAACGGGAACACGTGGCTCATTGCCTAGGATCGCTTGTCTTGAATTCAATTTCCCTCAACCTAATTAACGGCATTATTAATGGCTCATGATCCACTTGAATAAGATCATGGCCACGCACACTTCATTTGTGTACATATACCAACATGGAGAAAAACTGATTCACTGACGATTTACAGAATGATCGGAGATTATATGTCAAACACATGACGTTTGTCATTTGGTGTATAGTCAGCAAATTGCAAAAATATGACTCGAAAACATTTCATATATCCTTTGGAAAAATAACGACTGTGCAAATAGTTGACGCACACAGAACAAACAGATATGCTTTTGAATAATGCATTTTCCTTGTGGTATTGTGCCATTAAGCATAATAACTGGATGAGATTCACAAATTCATTTTCTATGTCTTCCATACATTTTCTATTCGTCACGTTTTTTTTTACCTCTACAAACATCCATCCGTTTTTTTTTTTTTTTTTTTTTTTTAATAAATTTCTGTACGGCGCTACTGTCCGCTGACCATCAGTTCACTAACCAATCCTTGATTTCGACTCGTACTTGCAAAACTGGTTTAGGACATCAATTCATTAATTATGTCTATATTCATATTTTACTATTACACCCATAGTTATGTTTATTTTTCTATATGGCAAACTTTGTCTGCCTGTCTCTCTCTATCTCTCTCTCCTACCCCCCTCTCTCTCTTGTTTCAGTCACTAATCAGGTTTCAGTTTTCAACATTGACATTGGCTTCTCACTCCTCTGCACTCATTTAGTTCAGCAACTCTATTTTTTCTTTTCTAATCATCTAGCCCTCCCACTTCTGCCATTCACACTATTCGGCGTTCGTCTTTATGGTCACATTTCCTCTCCCGCTTGGAGTCGGAGATAACATGAAGTACAACGCACACACACACACACACCTACATCACACACACACACCATTCTCTCCCAAAATATTGATATATTCACGCTAGAACACACTCACAAGTTCTCTCATCTCTCTCTCATTCTCTCTCTCTCTCCTCTCTCTCTCTCACGACAATGTATCACCATATCACCATCATTCTCTTCTCTCTTATATATATATAATCATATAGTATATATATATAATATATATTTATTATAAAATATTGTGTTAATTATTTATTTATATTTATCAGCCACTACTATTCACACCATACCTGCTCCACTCTTACAAGTGTCGTCACATCTCTGCTACCCCCGCCCATAACAAAAAAAAAAAAAAGAAAGAAAAGAAAAAAAAAAAAAAAAAAAAAAAAAAGAAAAGCAGAAAGCAAAAAAAATAATACTATTGGTATGGCGTGTGTTTAATAGTAGTGCACGTAGTTGACACGCATATATATACCTAATTTATAATATTTCACTATCCTCCAATGTATATTCATGACTAAGTGCACATTAAGATAAGACAGAACTTTGTACCTGGTAGACCGGAAGCGGAAAGCATGCTTTGTAACAGTCTGTCACCATCTGTAAGAATCATCATCATTACCTGATTTATTTGGCCTGAGGAGCGTGAAGTTGTTTTCTCGAAGGAACGCATAGGAGGGCGTCTTCTTTATCTCCATTGGAATGTAGGTTGTGGAGCCTGACTCT